TACCAGTTTGGCCGCCAAGTTTGATTTCATTCCTTTAAGCCGCACGCTGAATCCTTTTTTGGCCGCACCTTTTTTTTCACACCTAAGGTGTTTTTGATTAGATATCATGACTACACCAAATAAGAAAGTGACACTCGATAGTAACCAACATTAGTCTTAGGATCGCAACCCTATTATTCGGAACAGACTTTAACTTTACAGAACCAACCAGATTCTTTGAAATATATGGGGGTAGTTTTTTCTCCCTAAAACAGTGTTAATAACTTCCTTTATGCTAACGCCATGGAATTTAGATTAACCGTTTCTTGTCATCACCCCCATGCAATTGGTACAGGCGTACCAAGCATCATTATTTATGTTAACTGCTTAAGCTAATATCACGTGACGCTAAACGCTCTTTAATTAAGATAATTTCGTAAAATTTTATAAATTTGTGCTGAAAGTTGGCAATGAAAAATCAGTAATAACTGTTCACCGTATGATTCAATTGTAATATATATTGTCAACAAGAGTATTAAAAAATTAAAAATTTTGAAACGAAGTAGGGATCCTGCTATAAAAAGTAATGAAACAATAATTAAAACCACAATAATAAATTTATAAAATTTAATCCCTACTTTGGCAGCTTTATACACTTATCTGTAGAACAAAGTAAAGATGAAATTTTATAAATTTGTGTTTTGCTTGTAATTAAGCACAAAGCTATAAAATGGGCTATCTGTGCTATGCCCACCAGGGGAACCAACCCGGATTCTGCAGACATACCGCTGTGCCACTAGGGGCATAAATTTGTGATTGTGGTTTTAATTCTTGTTTCAATACTTTTTATAGCAGGATCTCTACTTCATTTTAAAATTCATAATTTTGTAATACTTTTTGTTGACAATATATATTACAGCTGAATTATGAAAACATAACAAATGCTCACTTATCAAACTACTTCAATGAAATTGTTTTTTTTTTAAAGAGGGTAAACAAGTAATAAAATACATTTTTGTAAAAATTAAGTGTGATGTAGGGATGGTAATGCTAAAAAGTACACAAACAAGATTGGGATGAATTCCCAATACTATACAAAAATCACTACATAAGTAGCTAAATCTTTTCAAGAATAACTTTTATCTAAAACTAAATGTTGAATTCCTGTCAGTTGCATGAATTCAGGCTTGAATAAAGACATTTAAACTGAACAGGCTATACAGTCTTACAGTGGCTGATAACCATAACCTTGTAAGATTGACTCAGTACTTACTGGCTACTTATGTGGGAAGTTTTGTATGGTTTTGTGTATTCATCTCTACCTTGTTTCTGTACTTTTTAGCATTTTCATCCCTACATCATACTAAATTTTTGCAAAAATGTTTTTATTACTTGTTTACTTATTAACCACAATATTTTTTCTGCAGGTAGACTAATAGTAAGCTGATAAACATTGTCCTTATACAACTTTGTTTCTTCTTAAAAAAAGGCGACCATTTGTTTCATAATGGTTTGTTATTAGATTTAATTCGAATTGTGAATTAGAACGTATGCAGTCCAAAAAAGGACTGTATATCGTAAGTCAAATACTAATACTTAGTTTGCAGTCGTCGTATAGAACCTTCCAAAAAATGTTGTTTAAGTATTTTATTTGTATTATTGAACAGAAACTTGTACTGACCATTAATTCTATTGATCCATCACTCAAACTTGAACCTCCTTGCGACCGATCCGTGAGAATGGTGAGCTGAATGTTTTTTGAATCGTCCTGTAAAATAAAATAAAAAGAAGAAAACATAAAGCACAGGTTTGCTTCATATTAAGGAATATCTTTCAAATGGTTCTACTTCAGTGGAGTCTGATACATTTATTTAATGTTTACGTGTGCTTGACCCTACTTTAATGAAAACTAATACGTTTATTTCATGTTTATATGTACTTAACCGGCATCAAATACGAGCTGATAATACAGCCCATCGTTATGTGTTAAAAATACACATCTATTAGTATTGTTTATTTGTTTTTTTAATTTCGCGCAAAGCTACACGAGGTCTATTTGCGCTAGCCGTCCCTAACTTAGCAGTGTAAGACTAGAGGGAAGGCAGCTAGTCATCACCACCCACCGCCAACTCTTGGTCTACTCTTTTACCAACGAATAGTGGGATTGACCGTCACATTATCTCGCCCCCACGGCTGAAAGGGCGAGCATGTTTGGTGTGACAGGGATTTGAAACTGTGACTCGCAGATTGCCAAGAATACTGAGATCAAGATTTGGATTAGGTAAAATGTATTAACATCACTAACTGATATAATATTTCCATGTGTGTACTTATGCTTAATATCACATGTTTAAAAGGGCCGCCATCTATAAGTAACACATGTGATAACAATGCACTATAACATTATACGGGATATTTGTTACTAACAAATAGCATAATCACCTGTATTACATGTTAACAATACGGTGCAATATCGTATGCTATGCTATTACCAAGGGACGACAATATTTCATGCGTTGTTTGTCACCAAGAAACAACAGAATTACATGTGATATTTATTACTAAGAAACTGGACTTTGTCTGTTTTGTGCTCAATACGTTCCAAAACCAGGTACTGTAGAAACATCTAAGAAAAAAAGTTCAGGCCTAAGAGAATTACAAAAACAAGTAACAGACGAAAGTAGAACCATTGTACAGATTGGCGCAAAGATCTGATCTTGACGAAGCTGCACGCCACTACCATACTAGATCTTAGAGACAACTCAAACAAGAACCACCAATCACTTAGCAACAAATAAGTGAAGAAACAATGGAAGAAATGTTGATGAAAAAAAAAAGTTTCCATGAAATTCCAAAAATTACTTGTACCGGTTCCGAAGTTAGAATATATTAAACTTTGTATTTTTATTTAATATTCAGAAACTGAACATTCTTATTATTTTTACTTGTAAATCTTCCGCTGAATTTGTGTTTTCCTCAATTTTTACTCTTCAAGACACCATTTGTAAAAAAAAAAAATTAAGATTAACTTTTCCTTTTACGTTAAAGTTACTAATAACGCTCTACAACTTTTCATTAACGTTAAATTGATTTTCTTTGTTGAAGGTTACATAATCAGTTTAACTATCGCATTTTTACAGAGGAGTAAGAGAAAAAAAATTGATGGTAATTAAAGTATCTTTTTTTTTAAATATTAATTTCGCTCATTTTTAATTTTTGCAATACTTGGATAATGTTCCATGCTTTTAAACCAACAGTCATCGTTACACAATCTAAAGAACGTTAATATATTCCACAGTATGAAGATAATTTAATTTGTGAAATGTAACTATCTGAAGTTACTAACGTTAATTTATTTGATAAAAAAGTCATTCTCTACAGCAATTTGAAATAAGTATTTGTTTAAAAATTATTTATCTTTCATATTAGCAAGCTATATGATGTATTTAATCTTTGTATATTTCTTCCCTTTACATCATTTCCATATTTCACTAATCTTAAAGGAAACTAAAGCGCGTTAAGAAATAGAATTTCACGTAATATAAAGCATGGAGTTTTATTTACTTTCAAAGACTGTAAACATTAATATACTTCCTACAAACAAGAAAGTTATAATAATCTCAATTTCTGATAATCAAAAATATTTTGGAAGATAATGTTGTAATAATATATTGTAATATTTAAAACTTATAACTGAACATAAATACTAAACGATGACATTTTAAAGGTGATACTAGTTCTAATTACATACTGTTCTATATTGTTACAGATATTAATGGTCTTAAAACTTAAGAAGAAGAAAAAAGCTTTTGGGAAAACAACCATATTTTTTTTTGTTCTTTAACGTCTGAATATCGTGTCTAATAACTACGTAGAAGCCACGCATCTATGCAGTTGTGCCTAATAACTATGTAGGTTTGTTTGTTATGAATTTCGCGCAAAGCTACACGAGGGCTAACTGCGCTAGCCGTCCCTAAATTAGCAGTGTAAGACTAGAGGGAAGGCAGCTAGTCATCACCACCCACCGCCAACTCTTGGGCTACTCTTTTACCAACGAATAGTGGGATTGACCGTCACTTATAACGCCCCCACGGCCGAAAGGGCGAGCATATTTGGTCTGACGGGGATTCGAACCCGCGACCCGCAGATTGTGAGTCGAACTATGTAGGAGCCACGCATCTGTGCAGTTGTAATAAGTCTCACTAGACTTTAATATTTGAACATTTTATTTTATTGTTTTATTTATACTTGCCTTAATGTAAATCCTACTGTTGACCGGATAGTAATTTCCTGACACAGGTTCGGTAATATTCAAACTCCACGTTGGCCGTTCATTTCGCCTGAAAAAAGCTTTATCACTTTACAATTGGTATACAGGAATTTTATGAAAAGTCAATTCGTTATGTATATGATATGAAGTAAAAATACGTCAGTTTCAATGCTATTATAAAACGGTGTCTTACACTAAATCATTTAACCCATTCTTAACTTTGAAAACTAGGTTATTAGGGTTTTATAAAACAGTTTCAAGAGAGTTACTGTGAAGACAATCTTGAAAATCACTTGTCCTATGGGAACTAAGTTTCAACAGAAACACATGGGAGTCATCTGTTTCATTCAGAAAAAGTTTGAACGTGGGTTGGGGTGTTTCAAAAATCGTTACAGAAAAGCTCGATTTGCATATCAAACCTATCTTTGAACGAAGTTGCTATATGAGTCATCTGTTTTATACCGTGTTCATTGATCTTCACAATACGGTGTATTTATAGGTTTTATGTAAAGTCCTTTAAAAGGTCTCTACGTCATTCACGTTCCTTTCTTTCCTTTTTTTCACTAAAATTATACATTTTGGTGAAGGAAAAAAAATCCACAAATAATATACTGTATTGATAAAAGAGAGAGAAAGGGGAGAAATAAAAACATATGCCAACCTGTCTCTGTGTTCTCTATCTTTACCCAGTTGTTTGAAACACTACTTCACGACCGACTCACGAGTTTTACATATAAGCAGAATATTCTGTCATCAAATCAATGTGATATACATGAAGAAATAGGTACTCAGACTGCGTTGATTTATTTCGTGGAAAACCTTCAATCAAAAATTAATGCTGGATTGACAACAGTAAGATTGTTTTATTGAGTTTACAGAAAGCTTTTGACACAGTCAACCATAAATGCCTTTTAGACAAAATATTTCATTATGAGATTCGTGTTTGAAGAAGTTACAAAGTTACAGGATACAGTTAAGAATTACTTAAGGTTAGCTACAGAATAACTCGGGATTATGTATTATAACAGACGAGTTTTTACTATATATTAATTATTTAACACAATTATAAATAAAATCGGAAGTAAAGTTATATGCGCACGATAATATCCAACTTTATTGTAACCATGATTGCAGACCGATATCAATCATGATCTTGAGATCCACGCTGAATGGTATCGAGATAACAAATTAACTCTAAATAAGAAAAAAATCTCCTTATCTAATTTTCAAAACCTTACAGAAAAACCTTAATATTTACCCTTCCATTTTATGTAATGATTTAATTATTCAAGAATTATTTGAAATTAAGTGCCATAGTTGGTTCCATAGTTTGCTTTCTTGGAAATAGTACAAAAATCATATTAGTTTGTTTGTTTGTTACGGATTTCGCGCAAAGCTACATGAGGGCTATCTGCGCTAGCCGTCCCTAATTTAGTAGTGTAAGACTAGAGGGAAGGCAACTAGTCATCACCACCAACCGCCAACTCTTGGGCTACTCTTTTACCAACGAATAGTGGGATTGACCGTCAAATTATAACGCCACACGCTGAAAGGGCGAGCATGTTTGGTGTGATGGGGATTCGAACCCGCGACCCAAAGATTGCGACTCGAGTGCCCTAACCACCTGACCATGCCGGGCTAAAAGTCATATTAAAAGAAATTAATCGATTTTGTAGTTTTCTTGATATAAACCGTTGGTTTTTTACCGTTATTTAAGTTTAGAACTCTGTACTACACCTTTGTGTATCTTAAAGTTAGACAAAAATAATAAAAGCTAGCAATAAATTAGAATTTAATTATCTTATACTCTAATATCAAAGCATATGAATGATGCACTCTATAAATGTCCACTATTTTAGGAAACAGTGAAGGTAACAATATGTACAAATTTCTATTGAAATCCCAACGCCACGTATAAGATAACTTTTCTTTATTTAGTGTAGTTGACTGCTCAGTCTATACATGTTTTTGTTTCTGGGTCTTTGACTGTGTTTGGTTTATTCGCCTAGACTTTAGTCTTCTAAACAGCGGATATCAATGTTTTAGTGTAAATGTTTGGTTGTTTTTGGCGTAAGGTAACCCAATGGGCTACCTGCGTTTTGTCCATTGCAGAGAATCAAACCCTGGTTTTAAAGGTTTTTAAGTCCGCCGAACCACCGGAAGACTTAATGTAACCGATTTCCCATTATTATTATTTTATGCGGATTTTATTCTGTAATGTATAGCTACTTATTTTATTTTGTTTTTAATGAACTTTGAACTTTGAGTGATATGTTTGTTTGTTACACGAGGGATATCTACGCTAGCTGTCCCTAAATTTGAAGTGATAGACTAGAGATAAGACAGCTAGTCAACACCACCCACCTCCAACTCTTTGGCTGCTTTTGTCAGACCAGATACTGAGTTTTTGCAGCTTCTCTTATAATACACCCACAGCCCCAAAGTACAGAGCAGGATTTCTTTTTCTTTTCTTTTTTTTGTAGTAAAGGCACGCGAATCACAGAACCTCAAGTACACAGTCCGGCATGTTAACCACTGAATCGCGTTCGGCCCAACTTTGAAAGAAAAGTTTGTTTCTTTGTTTGTAGCATACAGCTACACAATGAGCCATCTCGTTACCTATGCTGTGTTCACTACGGCTATCGAAGCTAGGTTTTTAGCATTATAAGTCTTTAGACTTACCATAATGGCACTGGGAGGCTAATGAGAGAAAAGCTATTTAAGTGTGTTTGTTTGAATTTAAGCACAAAGCTACAGAAAGGGCTATCTGTGCTCAGCCCACGACGGGTATCGAAACCCGGTTTTTAGCGTTGTAAGTCCGCAGACATACTGCTGTAACACTGGGGGGATGTATCTTGTATAACATTACTTTGAATCACTCTGTACCATGCTTAAACTTTCCCGAATAAAATGTAGGATTTTTCATGTGTTTCTTATAAAATTTGATTCCCCTAGAAGAAATAGTTTTTAAGATTCAATAATTTTAAATGTGTGATTTTCGTTATATAATCACCTTATAGATCTTATAAATACTAAAAAAAACTAAAACAGCGATGGACATCGAAAATTGTTAAATGCTAAAATGAGAATAAAAACAAATTAATTATTATTGAAGCGGACAAAACTTACACTCGTTTCAAGACCTGCCGGCCATTAGCATCGGTATAAAATTTCTTTTTTGACTGGAGATTTGTGTCAAATCTTGTAATTATCTCCTTCCCTATGTTATTCCTAAAAACACCAAGTTGGCACGCAATAAATATTAAGAATTAGGTCATTATTAAAAGTGGAGCATACACACACACAAAAAAAACAACAACAAATAATTATTCTTAGTAAAAAGAAAATGAAGCAAAAAACAACAACCAAACCATTATATTTGAATAAAACATAAATAAATAATGAGCGTAATTAAAAAATGATTTCATATTAACATCATACGTAAGGAAATGATGATTGTATATAATGAAAACGATTACCATAATGCATGAGAAAATAATAAACATGTAAAAACGATAAGGATATTTAGTTTTTGGGGTTAGATGTTTACCACTTACTTTATAGGAATGGGTCCTACAAGCCATTCCAGTTCGGCGTACTTAGTGTTATTATAGATTCGAATTACTTGACTAATCCACGGTGAGAAAGTCTGATGAATTTCATTTAATAGCGGTCCCTATAGTATAAAGACAAACAGAGATACATTACGGACCAAAGGGAATGCCAGCTGTCAACCAAAGACAGACAAATAGAATCATTCGTGTTAATATACTGTAAGTCATCAAGTTGGTAAGATATGTATTTAAATGTTACTCACCGTCACCAGGGTCACTGTTACATTGTTGTCTATGGGGTAAGGCGTAGTGCCATTAGGCCTAAAGATGTAAGCCCCGGAAGCGCGAAACTTGGCCTCAGAGTTGTTTCCATTCATGCCGTTGTACCAATAAAAGGACTGTTTGACCGGAAGTTTGATACCGTTGGACAGGTGGAACTCTCTGAGAAGTCGAGTTTTCCATCGATTAGCAATGTCACATCCTGTGTTAAATTGTCAAAGAAATTTCATTACGCATGGAAATTGTTAACCACTCACAAAATTTATTTTTAGATCAAAAAACGAAAAAAAAAAGGTGAATATATCCAGAGCTATTTTCAAGGAACGTCTTAGGAAAAACCACGTGAAGAACTATCCTCCTTTACTAATTTTTAACGTTACATCATACAATAAAGATATATTATTGTGGAATCATTGAAAAGTTTATTCAGGAACACACGCTTGTTTTGGTTCCTTTTTGTGATAAAGTCTCAAATGAAACTTTGTTATTTTACATAAATTTGTAAATTCAGAATTTTTTATTGGATTTGGTTTGAATAGTTTACCACTATTTAGATGAAACTTAGATACCCCTGAAGGGTGGACACTGAATTAAATATGGTTATTGGAGAAATTAACATATTGTTTGTCTGTTTTTAGTCATGTGTTCTCTTAGTTTCATGTATTACTATGTGATGGGTTTTTCTCTCTCTTTCGGTATTCGTCTCCCGGTGGGACAGCGGTAGTCTCCAGATTTACAACGTTAAAATCAGGTGTTCCCTCGGTGGACACAGCATATAGCCCGATATGGCTTTGCTATAACAAAACACATACAGACAACCTCTCGGTATTCAATACGGCTGAGTAGCGGAATCTATTAGAGAGAGTCACCACTATGCATTTTAAACATGATTATAACGAAGTAGCATTCAGTAAAATTAAAACTAAATTGTGTGGGATTGTTTTTGTGCGTTTGATTTGTGAATAAAGAGACAGAAGGCTGTTTAAACTTTTATATGTTTAGAAAAGATTTTTAAAAATTCAGATTATGTACTATAAATCACCAATTTTTACAATATGAAACATACCTGTATATATATATATATCGTTAAATATACGATACTCCAGAGTACTAAGTCACGAGAGAATTATGTTAATTTGGATATCAATCATTTGTTATGTTTATAGAAAGAGATCTTGAAAGAATAAGTAGAGTCTTGTTCCACATTAGCACAAGGCTCATCATAGAAACATCTTTAGACCAAGCAAATACATAGCTGTAGTGAGATATACAGAGGCCGAGTAAACACATGACTGTAATAAGATATCTAAAGACCAAGCAAACATGTGGCTATAATAATATATTTAGAAACCAAGTAAACACATGACTGTAATAAGATATCTAAAGACCAAGCAAACACGTGGCTATAATAATATATTTAGAAACCAAGTAAACACATGACTGTAATAAGATAATTAAAGACCAACTAAACACATGGCTGTAATAAGATCTTTAAAGACCAAGTTATTACATTACTGTACTGAGATCTTTTTAGACCAAGTTATCACACGCCTGTAATGAGATCTTTAGAGACCAAGTAAACACATAGTTGTTGTAATAACATCTTTAGAGACCAAGTTATCACATGATTGTAATATTGACGCCTGGATAGCTGACGTGGTATATATGATGAAGTTAATATTACTTTTCGATAGTAAAAGACAAAGCGATATTCGTTTCTCTTAACACAAGATTCGAACTTGAGACAGCGATCTTTGTTTATCCGTTATTAAATATTAGGTTGCAAGCTTACCCGACCTTAAGCTAAAGAAGGAGGTCTTAGTTTTAAGTAATTTCAAATCTAATTGTTAGGAAAATCATTCCAGCTGTATTACAGATGTTATAATCTTATTAACTTCTCTTTTGAACGACGTGGGAATCACCGTAAATCTAACTTTGTGCTCCCCAGTGACACAGCGGCATGCCTGCGGACTTACAACGCTAGTAACCGGGTTTCGATACCCGTTTGCAGAGCACAGACAGCGCATTGTGTAGCTTTGTGCTGAACTACAAATAAACAGAATTTAACTTTGTTTTAATAAGTGATAGTTGTATTAAAGATCTGTTGTTTCACAGTTTTTACCGTGAAAGTTTGCATATGTATACCGTTTTTCGAACACATAATGCATTGTCCTAAACACATTAACACCGTTTTTCGAACACATAATGCATTGTCCTAAACACATTAACACCGTTTTTCGAACACATAATTGTCCTAAACACATTAAATATTACGATTTAAAGATGGAGCATAATTAAAATAAAAAAGTTACGTATATAATCTTAGATTGAATTGATTTCTGGTAATCTATCTTAGATTGAATTGATTTCTGGTAATCTGTCTTAGATTGAATTGATTTCTGGTAATCTATTTTTCTCGTGTGTTGTTTTCAAAGAGTAAAATAAATCTAGTCGTCCTTTTTTCACTCAGCATTGTGTTTTATGTTTTTTATTGAAATAAAGAAGTCATGCATACATATAAGAACACCTTGATAATCCAAAGTTTATTACTTTTCCAGAGCTTAGGTTAGCCAATGTTTCACATAGCGTTTTGCCACCAGGGGGTTGGAAAGTTATACAACTTCAGCATGTGAAGCTTCACATCTGTCACTACAGACGGCCTTTGTCCTTTTTCTGGTCTCGAGGGTTGTAACGCCTAGCGGATTAGTTTTTATTATTAAATCTTCTGACGTGCACTTGTTTATGAGTTAGAACTGTCATGTGCATATACTTTGGTTGAATTAAAGGAGAAAATCATTAACTGTGATAATACATTGCCGCTGAATATGACTTTTGTATTTTGGTGACGTTCGCTTGTTTGGTTTCTCGAAATTAGGCGGATAATGAACAAATTAGTTTTTTTTTTTGGTTGAAAAATTCTATTGTTTTATATATAAGAACTTAAAATGTTAACACAATGCTTTGTCCATTTATTTATTTCTAGAGTAAAGCTATCTGCTGTTTCACTGCGGGGAATCGAACCCCGGATTTAAGCGTTGTAAATCTATTGACTTACCGCTATCCGGGGAGCCAAACACAGCGCATTGAAATTTAACGAATAGAAAATTAAAAATACTTGCGACTTTTAGTGATTTACAGGTTCGTGAAATAATGTAATTGTCGATAATTCGTCATACCGTGATTAATAATAACCTGTTTTTGTTTTCAACATGTGGGGTAATAAGACAACTGCGTAAGCAACAAAAAACTTCTGTTAATTACATGTTATTAAAATATATACTGTTCAAGAATACATTAGAATTATTTAGCTCTTTCATTGCCTGTCCTCTGGTGACTCATCGTAAGTCTGAGGGCTTATAACGCTGAAAATCTGGGTTCGATAACCAAAGTGGCCACAGCACAGAGAGCTCAATTGTGTAGCTTTGTGCTTAACAACAAACAAACAAACTTTAACTGCAATTTTTATAAATAAGCAACCTTCCCAGTGCCTAGTTTATTTCTAGTTTCCAAATACGCAACAAACAAAAAGATACACTTTTTATTCACGGCTTTACATATTTCCTAAGTCAACGAGAGTGTTGTACAAGTGGACATACGTGTGAAAGAGTTGACTACTTGGATTTTTATTTGTTTTTAAGCACAAACCTATACAATGAGGTATATCGCTGTGTCGTGTCCCAAATTTTAGCGTTATGAGCTCTCAAGCTTACCGCTAAGCCACTGGGGCAAAGTACTTGAGTCAGTAAACCATATTAGATAATGTAAAGTAACTCAAAATTTATATATTTAACACAATATCTTCTTAGCATACATATTTCAGAAGTTCAGTTTTCATACAGGTTTTCATAAGTTACAAAATTATAGCTATGAAAACTCCAAACTCATTGTTATATGAAAATCAGGCAACCTGATGATCAGGCAGGTGGTCATTTATCCAATACTGTATATAATGGCTTCATACAATCGTTCCTCATTTCAGTCATCCCTCTCAGTTCATTTTTTATGAAAATCAGGCAACCTGATGATCGGTCATGTGGTCATTTATCCAATACTGTATATAATGGCTTCATGCAATCGTTCCTCATTGGTCGCCTTGAAGAGAATAACAGAGTTCAGGGTACTCCAAATTCTTCAGGAACCACGGCTAGACCTCAGGGTCGACTATTGGATGTTTTACTAATGTGGAATTATTAAAATAATGGAGGCCAGCGAACCACATCTAACTTATGAATCAGTGCCTCAAAATGTCGTAACCAGAATGTGCAACTGTTTTCAAACCAAATATCATTAACTTCCGATCAAAGCAAGCTGCCTACATATATCAGATTAGAAACTAGTCCAATAATTCGTGTAGCTAATTTGATATATCGGTATAAGTAGGAGTATGAAATGTCATAAAACAAAAACGTGTAATGGTTAGAATTTATTTCTTCATTAATTTTAGACTCTCGGTTTTAGCACTATTTTTGGCCATAATCCTAATAATATCTTATGAGATTCAGCCACCTTAAAAGATTTTTGGTAATCCTAAAGACATATACTAAACTAACGTAATCCTCATAATATATATTGAGAATAATATACACATGTATATACATATATACATAACTACTGCTGTGAATGAAATTAAAATTGAAGAAAGAATAGAATACAACTCACTTGCGATGACACAAACAGATGACCATTAGGACAAGGTAGACTATCATCATTGACACAAACAGATTATCGTTATCTGTCGATTCAGGCTCTCTGCAATAGTAGGGTATTGTCTCTAAGATTAAATCAGATGTTCGAAACCATGACTGACCGCTGGCTGTATCGTTGCACATATTGCTATAAACAGACTTTAGAAGGTCAGTCTGTATTCCAGATGCTCCGTGAGAGGATATCCGTTCATAACAAGACCGAAAACAACTCTCTTGCAATAGTGCCAAGAATGTGTCTAATGCACGAACAACATATGTATCAATGTTTGGTTTTGTAGGTGAGTTTAGCTCCTCTCTGCAGCCAGATAACAAGTCTGCTACCCAATTGGAGATAATCTGGAACTTGTAAATTATATTTTCATAGAGAACCTGATACATACGGCAACGGTGGAAGCACGATGTGAACAGAACCTAGCAATGATGATTACCAACATTTACAGGTAATATGTGATAGGGACCAAATCTCTTATACCACCTCTGTACTACCATATGCTGGAGGAGTTGGCATTGATTTAAGCCTATTGGTTGACGCATGGAATCTTTCTTTGTTTTAGACCTTCGTATTGCAAAAGAACAAAAGAGCCAGGTTTATGAAGCTCGTGGAGATGTAACTGTGGGTAATGAGGTCAGTTATGTATTTATAAGTACACCTATTTAGTAATTATAGCATCATTTATATAACACAAATATAACATTTTCCGGTCTTTTTTAATGCTCATGAATAAAGTATGAGATTAATTTTGAATACATTATGTAAAAGTTAAATATACCTAAGCCATAATTCTAGTGTATAATAATATTATCTTTTTCTGTATTATTAGTTATTAATAGGTTATAGCTTAGACTGTATCTAGATGTAACTGTAAGATACAACCACATAGACCTATTTTTACATTTACAATTTTCAACATTTATGACCTCAGGGGATCCAGAGGTACGTGTTGGTAGTCCATAACATTTATGTTCAATGTGAAATATAGTCACAACGATAAACAAGAGTAGGGTGTTGTTAAGGTCCTGGACTATCCTCGATCACTCCTCTGGAAAAGCTATTTTCAAATAATCTTTAATTTTGGAGTCACTTCATGGAATGTGATTTTCGTCTCCCAAGAGTACCCCTCACATACTCAACGAAATTGAAATCCAAATAACGTGAAAGAAATTCCATTCGATCAATTTACCCTTCTAATGAGAGTGGTTACTATATAATGTCACTCTTAACTACATTATTATAATCAATATTGTTTGTTTGTTTTAGAATTTCGCGCAAAGCTACACGAGGGCTATCTGCGCTAGCCGTCCCTAATTTAGCAGTGTAAGACTAGAGGGAAGGCAGCTAGTCATCACCACCCACCGCTAACTCTTGGGCTACTCTTTTACCAACGAATAGTGGGATTGACCGTCACATTATAACGCCCCCACGGCTGAAAGGGCGAGCATGTTTGGTGGGATGCGGATTCGAACCCGCGACCGTCAGATTGTGAGTCGAGCGCCTTATCCACCTGGCCATGCCGGGCTATAATCAATATAATCAGTTTTCATTATGAACACAAATGGATGCAATACAGTCTTACGAGTACAGAACAATGGTATTGAGTTTGTTAGTTGATCTTACAATAAAATACAGCTGTATGAATAGAAAGACAGTAAAATGGAAGAATGCTGTCACTTTTATTCAACCTTATTGTGAGAAAATACCTAGTGGGCAGAGCAAAGATAGCTCTTTGTGTAGCTTTGTGTTTAATTACAAATAAATAAACCTACTTTTCGTGTAAAAACCAAAAATATTAACAGATTTATATTTAACTGTATTAAATTTAAGTATATTATATTATTCTATTTTATATTAAATGAAATCATATTAGGTTGAGTTACTCAGTTCGTGCAGTCCTCTCGGTAAGTTCATGGACTAGAAGCCAGGATCCGATTCCCGGCGGAGGAGAGAGCGCAGATAAACCATTGCGTAGGTGAAACAACAACAACAATAGTTCTCGCACTAAATACGAAATCGATAATACTAAATAACAATCGCGTCTTCTTGTATTATTGCTAATAAAGGATAGATCATCTCAGATTGTCAACTGTGCTATTGTAGGCCTCACTTCTAGAAAAGAGGACTAACAGGATAATCCCAACAGGCGTGTGTTGTCCCCTGGCTTTGGCACGGAGCAACAATTGGTGTATGCGATGAAATTATAACTCAAAATTAATGGCTACAATGGTAGATAGGCGCAAATGTCGACAGTGGGAGGGATATTGGCAGCACCAGGGCAATAAGGTTCCCCTCCTGCCAGTACAAGCTGTTAACATTAATCTATGAACTCTCATAGCTTGGCCAAAGGCATACACACGTCGAAGAAAGTGAAGAATAGGGAAGGACAAGACAAGTGAGTAAAAGGGAGAGAATGAATAAGAAATGTATTATCTGAATAATATATTGAAATGCTCCTAGCTACAGAATGATAAAAGTGATGATTGGAAAGCTGTTAGATGTGAAGAATGTTGTAATAGTGTAAGAAACCATTATATGGCAGAGACATCAATGTATTTTTTGGACCCTCAACAGTGGAGAGAAATACCCAAAGAAGACTTCTTGTTCTTGTAGATGCCAACAATGAGTGCTGCAACATATATGTTCCTAGAAGTAGAGATGCTGGCAGTCAGCCTGAAGGTTTTCTGGCATGAAATACAAACTGGTCAACTTGTGTATCTTCAGTGACATTAAGACAAAGGACAAATGGACTAGTTTTGTTGAATATGGGCACCAAATCATTATTGTAACCAGTTTAATGCCTGAAGGCCAATATGGCTGGAAAATGAAGAAACTGTGAATGGAAGGTCATTGGAGGAAGCGCTGGAAAATATTAACTGGATCCTAGACAATAAGTATGCCCCCTCAAGAACAGCAAAGAGAAGGAGAGATTCTGACTCAACCATATATTTCACCCTTGTGACACTTGTTGTATTCATTGAGTTGAAATAGAAGCTATTGCTTTAAAGGGCTATGACTACAAACTCATACTCATATATATAGCAAAGAAAGAGTTATCTCAAAAGCCAGCTTAGACTTTTGGCTTCCAAGATAGAGCAGGTTACAAAACTATCGCGAGTAAGTGTAGAAGACTGGTGAGAAACGAATGAATGAATCAGAAAAGCAAATGTGATTGTCATAAAACCAAATGGAAGACAGCTAAGACATTCACCATTCGATCCTTTGAGTTCCTATAGCCATACTCTGGTATTTTGAGTTTAAACAATTTCCCAAAATAATAAATTAGGTAAATCCACTACAAAACAAGAGATTTTGCAAGATTTATTGCAAGGTAATACTGAGTTCCACTCAAACAAACTGAATCTGTACTAAGAGATAAATGGACTGGACACAAAGTGTAATACACAGTGGAAACAATATTTATCTAACAGCACGTGCACTTCGCCATATGGATGATGGACTGAAGTTGTGAATTGATCAGGCTGGTTATACTCGCTCGAGACTTATTTCTAAACTGACCTACTGACTCAAGACTGACTAAATCTCATGTTAGTTAGTTGAATTGGTAATGTAAGACTTACCCATAACAATTAACACAACCCGTCTGACTGGTCATTTCATTCAAATGTAAAGGAAGCTATCCTTGAGATATCACCTAACCTACCACAGGAGGACACTGCTATTGACCTTCGTGCGCTAGATGCAACTGTATAGCTGCCCTATCCCACCCCTTGAATTGATAATAACATATATAATATACTCTTGAAAATGTATATGGGTACATTAAAGGAAAATGGACAGGTTTTTGTGAGATGGGTGTGGCAAGTGAATGACAGCATTTGGCAGGGAGCTGACTCATGGTAAGAAATGTCAATGAAGCTAAGTGAATTAGAGAAGATTCTTTGAAAAGGATTATGTACCAGTCCCAGATGGTGTTAGGAGCTTCAAAATCAAGGATTTCTCCATAGACGATGAAGCAGATCTAGGGGGAAATAGCCAATTTATAAATGACGCAGGGGAAAATAGAAAAGGATCTCAAAAATTGCTCAATGCCAAATGTGTAGGTAAAGCTTGTAGAAAAATTAGCAGCAAAAAGACTCAAGTATGACCTGGAGGAGAGAGACTGTTCGTCTACTAAGGTGTGAAGGACAATACCAAAGAGATCCACAACCTCCAATATCGAAGCAGTCAAACACAGCAATTATTATGCTGTGAACACATTTTACAAGCTGACAAAAATTGATTATGATTAATTATATTTCTAATGAGACATTAATCTTAGGCCTATTATATTTTTAACACAACAATCGTTATCTAGTCTCTTTGGGATTTTCAAGAATTAGAAGAGTATATAATAATAATACTTCAACCATAATGTTTGCCATATCCATTGCACGATGCATTTTGCTTAATCCAGAGCTCATCAGGCTGGATGAGACACAAACACAGGAATGGGCAGAACAAATTTTGTAAGCCATTTGTTAAGACAACAAATGTCAAATTAATAAAATTGTCCAGTAACAGTGAAGTTCCTTACAGGCACCCTAACTTATTACAAAATTGGATACATGTTTTGTACAAAGAAAGTGGGTAAAACATGTTGAGTGATCAAGACTCATCTGATAACAATCTATATTCCAGGCTAAGTAATATCATTCAACAAGAAAGTGGACTATCTAGTTGGTGAGGAAAAACCTTGTAAAACCTCCGAATGATACAACAGTGAAAGAGCATGAAGACTGAGGGAACAGGAATTACTGGAACAGAAGTTATACTGATGAAATAGAAGACTGGAGGAAAAAAAGGCTGAAGTATGGAAGTGGGAAAAAACTCGAAAGTACGTGGGAAAAACAGATGCTACTTAAATAACTTTAATTAGGTATTATAACTATAAGAAACTTGAAGAGATCACTGGATGGAGAGGAGAGACTGTGCCATGGGCGGTGTAAAACTACCCAAAGTTAAAAAAGTAGTAGAAGTAATATTATAATCATCTTATTTTCATTGAGTCTAGAGATAAAAATACAAATAATTGTAATAAAAATAATACATAATTGATTAATAATTAAAGTGGATGCTATCGGCCGAGTGCTCCCTGTGGTTGATGGTTCGGAATTTGGGACGGCGCGATGATAATTGGACTGTACGCTGACAAATGTCTAGCGACTATACTACACAATTGGAGGAAGAAAAGCTTGTGCGTTGGCTGATGCTAAATTCATTTATTTTGTAATTAGCTAAATAAACAAAGATAAAGCTAAGCTTTGAAAGTATGTAGAAACGGAGAGTTAAGTTATATAAATAAATACTAAAAATGAGGCCTCATTCAAATCCACATAATGTCGGTAAAAATTCCCTGTGTAAAATGATGGGAAATCGAATAGTAAGGTTTTGATGAAGTGTGTATGAAACCTTACTATTCGATTTCCTGATGAAGTATGTATGAAACCTTACTATTCGATTTTCTGATGAAGTATGTATGAAACCTTACTATTCGATTTCCTGATGAAGTGTGTATGAAACCTTACTATTCGCAGGAAATCGAATAGTAAGGTTTCATACATACTTCATCAGGAAATATGAAGTATGTGGAGAATCCAAGTGCTGGTAGTTTTACATTAAACACGAGTTCCGAAGTGGCCTTGCTAACTCTTCCAGGTATTTTTTGAACAGCAAGAGGGATGGGAACAAGCTGAAATAGAAATGATACTTGTAATGCTATGCTCATATAAAAAAACGTGCATTTTGTCACATAACTTCTATAGAAACCAAACACAAAGATAGCTCTCGATAGTCCCCGGCTAACGCTAAAAATCTGGTTTCGATACCGGTGATGGGCACAACCCAGATAGCCCATTCTGTAGTTTTATACTTAACTACAAACAATCAAATAAAAGCTCTCGATAGACAGATAATGCTGAAAGAGTTTGACAGGTGAAACATAACACTAACTTTTGGCAATCTTTGTTGTTATGACAGATAGTATTGAACAGTTTTGCATGTTAACCCTCAAATTATTGACTTGTTTCTATTCCGTTCACTACAAGTGTTTTTGTTGAAATTTTTGTCACTATTATGTTATTAGCGACCCACAAGCACTTTTTATATAAATAGTTTAAAAAATGTGTTTAAGATACTTTTAAGTTCATATGAAACTATGAAAATAGGGTAAAACACGCCACTGATTTTGACAATATTTACAGTAACAAACCTTTAGCAGCTTAATGGATATAATTTGAGTAGAAATGATGAAAATTTGCTCAGATTTTTTAATAAGTATTTAAACGTGAAATGACATCATTATCCAATCATGTCTATAGGTTTGATTATTTGTTGACCTGAACGACAACTTATGCGCTCAATGGATAAACAGCCCCTTCAGAAACCTCTGGGGTTCAGATATAGTCGTCCCTAATTTTCACCTGCTGCAACCAGTCATCTACACCCACTACCTAAAGCGGGTCTCTCAACCAAATATAGCGATTGTGTGTGACAATTATAATGCTGAAAGTTCGAAGCATGTTTGGTAGAACGATGTTTCGAACACTAGGCTCGGGTCTCCAGTCCGATACGCTAACCACTACGCAACCCATGTCTATAGTATATATATCTTCATATCCATTATGAGATAGATATGCATCTTTACAAAGCCACCAGGTAGTTCTTTGTGGCAAGTTTCAAAATATCACCAGCTTGTTTCCTTAGAAATCCCAAGAGTTTCTTGTAGCTGTATCTAAGACTAACATTATAATTAGCTAAATTACCTATGGAATCATTAGAGCTATTAGTATTTTCATGTTTACTGGTTAGCTAAATTACCTATGGAATCATTAGAGTTATTAGTATTTTCATGTTTACTGGTTAGCTAAATTACCTATGGAATCATTAGAGTTATTAGTATTTTCATGTTTACTGGTTAGCTAAATTACCTATGG